CACTGGATCTAGTTAACGCCTTTATCCACTGTGCCATGTGTTCTCGAGGACACATGGCACAGTGGGCGAAATAAAGGGTTCAGTTCGACATTCCGAATAATGTAAATAGTAAACATTTTGTGATAGACATTTTTGTTATGAAAAAAACGTAAGAAAGAAAATGACAAAGATGAACAGAAAAAACAAAATAAAAAAGAGGAAATAAGTTTATCAGTTATTATAGTTTTCTAAATTTTCTGAAATTCTACATGTTTTACTTTAACTGGTTTAGTTTAAGTAACTACTTAGTACTCTTAAAAGAAAAGATTACTGAAAAGTTATGTAATATCAGCCCATCTATATGACAGTGAATGATGGACAGATCTGAGGCAACAGAAATGTAGTTCTACAGAAGGATGCTGAGAATTCTATTAATGGAACATTTGAGCTACGCCAATGTTTTAGGAAAATCAAAAACAAGAAAGACATTTATACTTCGAATCAGAAACATACAGTTGACATTTCTCGGACATATAAAACGGAAAGAGGACTCGCAGAATTTTTACTTATTCCTTTCATAAAAGAAATACTTCGATTATGTAAAAATCAACTTATACATGTAACGGTACAATTTAAGTTTCGCTTACGTCTTACAATAATATCTTCAAATAAGAACACATTTAGAACAAGTTTGCATCATAAATTATCGTCCTTTATAGGAAAAAAAAATATTAACGTTTTTTTTTTAATGCAAATATGATTTCTGTAAATAAATTCAGACTCCTGACGAATGGATGCAATTTTCGCGACAAGGGACAGTTAAGTGAATATTTAATTTTATTTGATGCCATTAATAATTTATCTCTTGATAACTAGCAAATATCCTGAGCTACCGTTTTCTTTTTTTTTTTTCATTTGCCGGGGGAGTCAAAACGCAATATTGTTATACATATATATATATATATATATATATATATATATATATATATATATATATATATATATATATATATATATTTGTGTGTATCTGTGTTTCTGTGACATCGAAAACATCCACGAGAATGCGATGTGTCAGCTGCTTGCTATCCCCAAAACTAGATCCAGTCAGGGATGCCCTCATTAATAGAAACAACGCTATACATAGTGTCTGAAGTTTTGATCTGGATTACTTCGAAGGGGGATTAAATGCCGGATTGATATGTTGTAGTTTTCTTTATATAGCACCAGTCCTGATACATTTCACGAGACATCATGCGTGTATCGCTTAAATTAACCTTCTTCACCGCCGTGCGGCAACGGCTTACGACTAGATTCTCCGATAACGACAATTCAGCCGGGCTTCGGTTCTAGCTAGAGGCAACCGGTTATATATAATTTTGAACTTTTCAATTCGATATTATTTCTTATTACTATATACGTTATTTTTGGTGAGTAAACGTGTTTGAGTTGCTATCTTATTTTTTGTTAAAAAAAATCGAAAACAACTGGCCTAGATAGAGAAGCCCTAATTAAACAAAAAATGTGCCTTCCAATAGGAAAAGAGATAGAGGTTTGATTCCTATTAAGAGATACAGACTTTCTTTAGTAGAACCCCACGATCTAAGCTGGTTGTTGTTAATTTGAATGTTTAAAAAAAGAAAAAAAGGGATAAGAAATCAAACACATGTACGCAATAAAATGACGTTTATATATATATATATATATATATATATATATATACAAGTGTTTCACACCAAGCAAGGCGGGAAGCCACTAGCACGCAAGGGGTTACAGAGAGTTGGAGCGAGAGCAAAAAGGAGTGATAGAGGAAATGATGAAAAGGGGATAGATCAAGGCATCTGGTGACGTCGATTGACATTACATTTGGGCAGTTGGAGATTATAGCTATCAGGGAAACAAGAAAAGGGGAGGGAGTCCCACAGGCGAGAAGTGCGAGACATGAAGCTATTGGAGTAGAAGACACGGCTGCATTTAACAGTTTCGACAGTAAAAGGGTGAGAGAGATGTCTGCCTAGTTGAACGCTTACATTAATGAAGTCTGGGAACCAGCGAAAGCAGTTCATCGGAGCAGTTACTGTGAAAGTATTTGTAAAAAAGACAGAGGGAGGCGACGGCACGTCTGTGAGAGAGCGACTGCGGACGAGATGGCAGATCAGGGCCAATTACATTGCATATTCGTTTCTGGATTTTATCAAGGAGCTTGAGACAAAGAGAAGGGGCTCCAGACCATATATGGCAACAATACTCCATGAAAGGGTGAATGGTTGATTTGTAGATTTGAAGGATCGACTCCGACGAGAAAATTATCCTGGGCATGCAGGGTGAATGACAAGTTCTGAAACCATTGTGTTGTGCTTTTTGCCAGATAGATTGGAGCATTGTCATTAAACCTTCTGTAGGCACCAGAAATGTCTTCTACATGAGGAAGCAGAGAATACGATGATAAAAGATTTTGATATCTGACAGTATTAAGTTCGCGGTTTTCATCAGCAGGAACGTGTTGCAAGTTACAAAAAAATTATTTGACATTCTGTTAGTGGTTTTATAATTTTGCAACAGCTTTTTAATTTTTTGTTACAGTCTTTGACAAAGTATTTTCAAAACAATTACTTTCAGAAAATAAGTGTTTCATTACATGTGTACTCAAAAACTCATAATACCAATTCAACTAAATTACATGTGTACTCAAAAACTCATAATACCAATTCAACTAAATTACATGTGTACTCAAAAACTCATAATACCAATTCAACTAAATTAAATGTGTACTCAAAAACTCATAATACCAATTCAACTAAATTACATGTGTACTCAAAAACTCAATACCAATTCAACTAAATTCAGACTTCAAAAGCTGAAACTTCAATTGGTCTTATAAATATGGACTATACTGTACTACAAATCCTACTAAAGCGTAAAATGTATATCCAGAAAGTAACCCTTTGTCTGCATCAGTTATAACAAATTAAGGATAAGGAATAAAGAATTTGAACATGCAATAGGCTGCGCTAAGTGCAGTTTCTCGTTCGATCAAAACTTTCATATGGGATGTCATGCATGGTGTCAAACACTTTAGAAATATCTCAGATGTCACCCGGATACAATCACTTTCTCAGCTCAATTGTTAAAAATAGCTTCGAGCGAATACAACTTGGGGTTTTAGCGAGGATAATCATTGTATGAACTTCGCTAAAGAATCCCAAAGAACTCTATCAAATAACCGTTACCATATGACTTGAAAGCTTTCAACAGCAGAAACGACTAGCTCATATCACTCGAAGAGAAAATAATGGTATAATCAAGATGTTCCCGTTCCTCACGACTTCAAACAAAACGTTAGGAAGAAACCCCTGCCCTCCTCCATCAATATGGGAAAGAGCGATAACAATTACTGAACTCGAGAAATCTAGATCCTGAAAAGTCCTTTTAACAAACATTTTATAAATTTCAACCGACAGCAGCACTGCCTTCTCGGTCAATGAATTCCAAATGTTTCCTTATAAGGAAACGGCTAATGTTATCGTTATTATTAACTGGTACTTGAACAAGTACTTGCGGGAACAGAGGTGTACTCATCACAGGCCACTTTTCGTAAATAATTTGAAATCAATATCTGCTTGTATTAGTTATAAAGTAAGAGAAAACGTTAGCTATAAATTAGGTATCTTAAAATTGAACTCCATTCAATCGATATTCAGAGTTTAAAACACATGCACCGTTGCTTTAAAATATATCTTTAATTTTTACGTTTACTTCGAAGACATAACTAATAAATCTTATGAAATTATTTGGTCTTCATCTTCTTTGATTTCAAATTATATTTGCACTGTGTGTTCTGCAGTCGGTTTATCTTGGGCGTCATATTTCATCAGCCTTCAAAAACCTTTGTATATAGAGACGAAATAATTCAATATGTAAGTAAAATAGAATAAGCCAAGACTTCCTACGTTAATTCCATTGCTTCGAAGTAAAACAATCTAGAGAACGTGCGCCAAAAGACAAGTGACCTCTTCCTTGAGAAGATATTAACCAACTTCATCAAGTCAGAGTATTAGGTGCCATAAATATCCAGTATTTCATTTTATTTATGTATTAATTTATTCATGCAAATATTTTTGTTTCATATTTGCTTTAGATTAAAACTAAAAGAGACTATTTATTTTATCAGAGTTACTCCTAACAAGTCTTCCAAGACGCCCACTATGTGGCGCTGTTCAGAACTATAAAAGGATGCAGGTAAAATAAAATCTCTCTCTCTCTCTCTCTCTCTCTCTCTCTCTCTCTCTCTCTCACGTTTTTTCTTCCTCCCTCTCTTGCTTCGAAATGTAGCAGTGTCAACATGAGTCTTGTCATTGCTGGGATAAATTTCTTTTCCCGGGCAGTCACCTGCTATATTTTAGCTAACATACATTTCCAAGCAATCAAAGCCTATAAAGCTATTTTCCCTTTCAGTTATGTGTGTGCGTACAAAAATATTTTCTCTCGACTTGTATTGTTATTAATTATATCACAAATATATTTTTTAAATTCCGACAAGTGTTGCAATTTATTCCTGCCTAAAATTTTAAAATGAATTTCATCGAAAATTCTCGATCTTAACCACGTCCTTAACCGCCTCCTGGTCAGCTCCACGGCCCTTTCTATGGCACTCAAAGATACGTGTTATCACTAACTGTGGTGTCTAAAGACGACCGACCTTTGCTACACTAGAGTGTTGAATATAAACTCTTCCATTTGACTATGAAAGTAGCTGTAAGCGAGACACAAGTAGTTACAGGTAGGTCGCGCAGTAATCGTAAAGAGTTTCGAACTAACTACGATATTCGTTAGTATTGTAAATAGTTCTTTCACTAATCTTGTGTTTTGGTTTTTTCCTTTGGAGTATTAATAACCTAAACTACGAATTGATACGAGCATAATAATCCTAACATAATAGGTAATCTGATGGAAAAACAAGTAGTTTGCACTTTTAGATATATTATGAAACTGTTCACATATTGAGAGCATATCCGGCAAATCTGATGCCAGGATTTAATAACGTAATAAATTATGCTAAGGTAAAACTTAAATAGATTACACAATACTTGTTTTTCTTCAAATACAATCCTAGGTCTTACGATCAAATTCAAATCCTTTTCTTATCGAGCAAATATCTAAGAAACAGCCGACCTCTCGAGCCCTCATGCCTATCATCCTCCAAGAAGGTATCTTAAATCTGTACACTTTTTGTTTGTCAGTACGAATACAGTACCCATCGGGCAAAAAAAAAAAAAAAAAAATTACCCTGGACTTCACTGAAAGGGTATGAATTACCCTTGAGAAATGTATGAATCGTCCTTTTCTCTACCCTCAGCTATGGGTAAATAGCAGGACAGACTGGATTCAAACTGGAGAGGGTTTGTCTTCGTCAGGCTAAGAAGAAACATCACTTTCACCTAAAACGCAAACGTTTATTTCCCTAAAACTCAAAACATGTAGAAAGTTTCCGTGGAAAGTGGAGATGGCACTAGAATATGAAAGAAGAACATTAAGAAGAGACAAGCTTCAAGACACTGATCAATTTCTGTACATTCCTATGTTGTAACATAGAGAGAGAGCCACCACGGGTTGATCGATCACTTATGCACAATTCCCTTTCATAATAAAATAAAATAAAATAAATAAATAAATCTCCATAGACAATCAAACTAGACGATGGCCAATACATCTTCCGTTTCATTTTTGACACCCCACCTTTCCCCGACTTGACACCTTGAAAGTATCTCTATACCGCTACTCAATATAAACACCCTACACTCGCCTACCCAATTTAGAAAATTCACCATAGCTGTTACCATGGGGATTTTGATTTCAATTTTAAAACAAGTAAATTTCAGATATACGTTATTCCAACTAAAATTTTGCTTGAGGATGGAACGGAGCCCATTTTACTTTCAACTCAATTTAATTTAAAGGATTATATTGAAGTTTTCGGCTCTAGTTTTGAAACATGAGACCTCTTATGTAGCGATTTGGAATCATATTTTTAAATAAAATATATATATATATATATATATATATATATATATATATATATATATATATATATATATATATATATATATCTCCAAGTATATGATTGGTGTATATGGAATAAATTCCAATAAGCAACAATTACTATTCTTAAGAGTGCTCAATACAGAGTAGAGCAGATATAATTATTATTTCAAAATTATAACATAAATATGTTATAAAATCATATATATATATATATATATATATATATATATATATATATATATATATATATATAAATCATTACATATATATATATACACTGGGTGTATTTGGGCAGTAGTTTTTCATTTATCCAAATTTGTCGGGGTTTCTAGGTTGAGAAGTTACCATTATTTACATGCGGACTATAGTCCTCATCTTTGTTGTTGCTATCAAAACGTTTCGGCTATTGTTCCCTTCCGCCTTCATTACATGTATGTCGATCCGGGTAACCTACAGGGAATTTCGAATTGAGCCAAGGGTTCTCTGTAGTTTACCCCAATCGACGTACACGTAATGAAGACCGGAGAGCACAATGGCCGAAATGCTATAACAACAACAACAAAGATGAGAACATTAGTCCACGTGTAAATAATATAAATAATATATAAGTTTGGTTGAATACCAACGGGAGTTCTTTTTTAAGGGTAGTTTTCTTTTCTTTTTTCTATATTTCAGACCATTTTCATGGTTTCCGGTACATAAATATAAATTGTCCAGTATCTATCTATCTATCTATCTATCTATCTATCTATCTATATGCGTCTGTATGTTATTCCAATGTGTATAAAATATTTATTATGCGTTTTCTATGTTATATCTAATCTATGTATCTAAAGCTGTATGTCTGTCTTTTTTGCATATTTTATTGAAATATCTAAATCTATCTTATCTATCTATCTATCTATCTATCTATCTATCTATCTATCTATTTAGCTGTATGTCTGTCTTTTTGCATATTATCTATGCCCCTGAATATCTATCTATCTATCTATCTATCTATCTATCTATCTATTTATTTACCAATATCTGTTTTTCTCTGCAAGTCTTCCTAGCTAGATGTATGTCTGTCTTTCTGCATATTATCTATGTATGTATGTCTCTGAATATCTATCTATCTATCTATCTATCTGTTTTTCTCGGTATATCTATCTATCGAGGTAGCAGTATGTCTGTCTGTCTTTCTGCATATTATCTATGTATCTATCTATGTCTGTCTCAGCATATCTATCTATCTATCTATCTATCTATCTATCTATCTCTTTTCCTCTCGTCATCTATCTATCTATCTATCTATCTATCTATCTATCTATCTATCTATCTATCTATTACCAGGCTTTTATTTAAATTCCACTCACTCACAGGGGAAACGGGGAAACCGCAAATACCAACGAGGACTAATCGCTTCTTCTTCTTCTTCTTTGTACGATGTTCCTTCACAACGTGGGATATTATAGCTTTCCATAATCTTCTATTTCTTTTAAGCTCTTTGCAACGTTTGTACATTTTTCAAGCCTCCGATCTCCCGTTCTGCTATTCTTCATTCAGGTAGCTGACGCGCTGCCTTCCCCTGCCCTTTTACCTTCGATACGTCCTGTAAGTATCAAGTTCTCCATTCCCAAGTGTTTGCGCTGGTGGATAACGATGGTTATAATTTTCATAATTTTAACAATGAAATTCTAAAAGTTGTTCAAATTTATGAGATGGAAACACGTTTGAAAATGCATCGGATGCTTAAATGTATAGATTTGTACATGCGTGGAAAGATGCATATAGTTGTACAAGACGCTGCCAAATTTATAGGGAATATAAGGCCTGAAATAGTTTTCAAAGAGAAAAAAAGATGTTCCTAATTTCGTAGCGGAGTGATTCCGTGTGGTGTGCGAAATACCCGGTGAGACTGGGAAAACGCAGCTGACCTTGGCAGATGAACAGCTTGCTCAGACTGTTGATATTTGGAATTGAAATAAGTAAATTCACCTATGTACATATCAGCGCGAATTTTCTTTTGTATCAAGCCGACTATACAAAGGTTTTTAGTGCACAAATTGCGATAAGTTTGATGAAAATCGATTTATTATAAATAATGAACATTCTTTCTTATATCTAGTCGGGGGATCTTATAATATGTGTCCAGTTGGAAGACCTACTTTCGCTTTCAGCATCTGGTCTTTCATGGGATATTGATTTTTGCGTTATCGATGAACATATAAGAACAATACTAACATCTGTCGCCGAAAAAGTTATCTCAAGTGGTCACTCTTAACTGTGCACAGGTGGTTCCTTCATTTGGACTGACAACATTTTTTTATTTCCAACCATTTGTAAAGCACAATTCTGTCAAGATTTAGGTGAACGTGTGAACCTAACCAACTGTATGCACAGAAATACACACTAGTTTTTATCTATCTATCTATCTATCTATCTATCTATCTATCTATCTATCTATCTATCTATCTATCTATGTCAGTTCAAGTAACTGTATTAGTTGAAATATCTATCTATCTATCTATACCAGTTCAAATAGCTATCTATCTATCTATCTATGTCAGTTCAAGTAACTGTATTAGTTGAAATATCTATCTATCTATACCAGTTCAAATAGCTATCTATCTATCTATCTATCTATCTATCTATCTATCTATCTATCTATCTATCTATCTCAGTTCAAATATCTATCTATCTATCTATCTCAGTTCAAATATCTATCTATCTCAGTTCAAATATCTATCTATCTATCTATATATTCATTCATTCATTCATCTATCTATCTATCTATCTCAGTTCAAATAGCTATCTATCTATCTATCTATCTATCTATCTCAGTTCAAATATCTATCTTCTATCTCAGTTCAAATATCTATCTATCTATTTAAGTCAGTTCAAATATCTGTATTAGTTGAAATATCTATCTGTCAGTTCAAGTATCTGTATTAGTTCAAATAGCTATCTATCTATCTATCTATCTATCTATCTATCTATCTATCTATCCAAGTACAACTGTTTGTTTATCTATCTATCAATCTAGCTATTTCTGTCAGTTCAGCTGTCTTAGATCAAATGTCTCCTCTCTCTCTATTTATCGCTTCCTTTTTTTTCAAATATATATATATATATATATATATATATATATATATATATATATATATATATATATATATGCGTGTGTGTATGTGCATATCGAAAAATGTAATTAAAACAAATGTTAAGAGAGAGAAACACATCCAGCACATTACTAGATAGGAAAAAGTTCAAAGTTATTAAAATAATTTTTTTCAATCTTGTTTAAATATTTTTTATGTTGTTTTACTTTCAGATTTTGTATAAATTTAAATTGTTATAATTTGTGTCAAACTTTAAAAGACCCACACCACAAGAAAAGTCTTTTTGTCTAGAGCAGTTTGCGAAGTTTATCATTACAATAATAAACTTCGAACATTTTCCTATTCAGTAATGTGTCGAATATATTCTGTCTATCAGCATCTATGGCATAACGGAGCTATCACTAGTGTTCACTCCAAACACTTTCGTAATCACCATTAGACTCATCCAACTATTTCTGAATCCTCTGCACTGTTTTCAGATTGACATCCAAACAGTCTGAAATGTTTATATTGCAGCTTCCGGCGCGAATGCTAAGCTGTACAGAATGCCGCTTCCAAATTTCTAGTGGAGTAAATTGCGTCATGGTGCTCTTTTTCTTACAGTGCCCATCTGACCCCTATTTGTCCAGCCTACAAAATAAAAAAGAAACAACGCGCCTGCGCAAAATTAAAAATATGAAATGGCGACAATTTACCCATCGCACCCTGCATACCAAACTCAGTAGGTAAATATTGATTGAGTTTACACCTGTGGCTATTGGTGGGAATTATATTTGAGGCTATAGGTAAAACTATGTTCGATTTATACTTTAGTTTCTCGGTAAATATTAGACACGCTTATAACTGAGTCTGTGAGCATTTAACCCCCCCCATGTCCTCTTTTTATCTGGTGGAGTAGGGGTTCTTAAACTCTGCAAGGGAAGTTGTCGGCATATTCTAGGGTCTGCCGATAGATTACCTAATGTAATGTTACGCGGCATACGCCAAAACTTCAGACGTATCAAAAACATTGACAGCTTCCAATTCGACACAGGAAATGAACAGACATATCCTGCTCATGGCATGTAGGTTGTTTGTGGTAGAACTGGTGGTGGCGGGCAACGAGGGCTGGGCAAGAAAATTGTGGCTTTCTACCCCTCCTGATTGAATCCCCTGGACTGCTACGTATGTGAAGGATCCCAAGCAGCAGTCCCATAATATTAAGGATACGTTAAAAGCAACGGTCATAGACGTTTTAGCTGAGAATCATATATTTCGATGACGATATTCAGTCCCCCCCACGAGGGTGTCATGTGGCACAAGGCCTTTTTAACGTGGGCATTCCGAGCCCGTGGACTCGGCCAAAAATATGTCCATTGAACCCGTATAAACGGGTTCAGGGCCGGTTTTACCTCCCCGAAGGAGACTCCGCCCTTCGGCGTAGCCCCCTTCGGGTTCCTCCCGTCCGTAGGAAGAGAGTACAACCGAACAGTCGGTTCAGAATATTTCGATGTCACATCCAGTGTGTCTATAAGGCTGAGGGCGTTTTATCGAATAAAACTTTTCTGTCTTTCTGCGTTGGACAATCTTTTGCCAATATACTGATTTGTTATTTCTTTGTTATTTTGTTGGCAGTAATAAAAAAAGCAACAATTTGCAGAAAACTGAAATATAATAATAATAATAATAATTATAATAATACAATCCCTGTTGTAGTTGGAGCCCTAGGATTGGTTGGAAAAGTTTCCAGTAGACTAATAGAAGGGATTCCTGGAAGTCCATGTCTCAAAGAGATACAAAAAATTGTTCTGACAAGTACAACCCACACTTTACGAAGGGCTTTATCTATGTAATTTTTTTTCTTTTTTTGTCAGTGGAAGTGTCATGATGCCATTTCTAATCTTAGGTCCCTGGGCGGGACCCGGAAAGAAATGTGTAAACGCCAGAAATCAAAGGAAATAAAAATAATAATAGTGACAGAGTTGGTTGGTTGATTTTCTTTAGCAGCATATTAACCTCTTTGGGTTACTTAATGCTGAAATCTACATATTTTAAACGCATTTGTATGCCTTCAACTACAGATAAAATGTATTGTTGGTCTTTTTACTATAAAATGTGTTGTCGGTATATATAAATGTGTATTGCCAGTAATTTTACTATGAAAGGGTATTATCAGTATTTTTATTATAAATATAAATTGTTGGTAGTTTTACTATAAATATGTATTGTTGGTAATTTTTTATATAAAAATGTATTTTTATACATTCACAGTATTGTTTTGGGGTGTTCACTATAGCTGGGACTTTAACACATGCTACCACCCACAGGTCAGGGTGGACCTGAAAAACAGCAGCAATTAAGAGTTGGTACCACACTCCTAAAAATATCTGATCTCCGAATCAGTGGCCTTGCTGCCGGATGTAGTTTATCATCATACCCAGGACTAATGATGACAGAGAAAGAAAAATAAAGGCGTAAAGGTATCAAAATTGGAAATATGAGATACCAGGTTTGTTGGGGTTTTATACAATAAGAGTAGTTCCTATTATTGCGGGCGCACTCGGAACAGGGACAGACAAAATTCCCCTCCTCCGAAAAAAAAAAAAATGGGTGAATAAAACTGAGACTGTAACTTAAATTGAAATGCTCCAGAAAATGGGACAGCCGGTATTTTGAGAAAGATTTTGTCGATGTCGAGAGGTAATGAAATAAGAGAACCCATGATCATTTGTTATGACCCGCTTTTGATCGTTAAATTATGGCGTAAGATATGTTTCTAAAAAGATTGAGCTAACGGTAAGTCACAAGGCATCGTTACTGGGGTGGGCTTTGAGCGTATTGGCCCTGTTAAAACTAAGGATCATGCTAAACAATGCACTTCCAGAAACTAAGGCCCGTTCAGCACAGTTGCATTATAAACCACAGATTGCATTTGTGGGTGTTGAACAAACACAAATGTACCTGAGCATGCATCAGCGAAACAACGACCATCTAGATACACTAGACGACAGCTGTTTTATATATATATATATATATATATATATATATATATATATATATATATATATATATATGCATATTGTGTGTGAGTGAATTTAAAATTTTAAAAAAAGTGTCAATCCGACCGTCGTTTTTAAAATTATATGATAATAAGCTGTAATTATATTCAGATTCTTAATCTTAACGACCCTTAAATAAATGGACTCAAAACACAGATGTTATAGCGATTTTCAAAGCATAGCTTAGACGTGGCACAAGGCCGAAAAAATGAGGGTACCCAGTGAGGATCGAACTCACTAATCAGTCATAATTGTTCTAGCGAGACAGGCTTGCTAACCATTACACCGCGCAGATGTTATATATATTTTTATGAAGAAGAGTGGAGAGTTAGTTTGCTCTCCTTCTGTACTTTTCATACAACGCCACCTAGCGACGTTACAAGAAGTGTCCTAACAGAAAAGATGGGATAATCCCACCAAGCTATAAACTGACAAAACAAACGACTCTATGAATTTTAGATGCAGGCAGAAGTCGATGTCAAATAAGAACACCTAAACAATTATTGCTGACAAAGAGCGAATGGACAGTGTAAAAATATGTGTATTTGCGGAAAAGTTAAGGATTCTGAAAGATAACATTTTTTTAATGTTAAAAAAATATGTCTGCATGAATGTGTTAATTATTTTATGAATGGGAAATGGAATTTAACACTAGTCGGAAAGGATACAGAAAAAGATGTGTCATTTTTTTTTTTTTTTTAAGATAACAAGAATATGTAGAAAAAAGATTATGGGTCTTTATGGAAAACTAATGGCTCCATGGTAATTACTCGTTTGAAAGCTTTGTTGTAATGAATAACAGTGATAAGAATACCAATGTAAAACTACATAGAAAAGAAACATATTAAACTTCTTTTCTCCGGAAAATAACGACATTATAAACAGCGTTAGCGTAGAATGTAATAAGCTGTTTCCAAAGTAATAGAAAAATTAGAAACGCCAGAGTAAGGACAGCGTACGTGCGACTATGTAAATCAGACATTGGCAACTTTTTCTAGCAGTGGGCCGCATGTCTCATCACAAAGGGGGTCGCACTACTAAAACGATTCAAGGTAATTTTTCATAGAATGTACATTAGCTATTATCACTACAGAAGGCTATACGCGTAAGAATATACCTTAGAAATGGGGGAAAAGTTGATGTTTTTTTAATTGGAGAAAAAATTTAAAAAATTGAAATCTTGGCATAATATTACCATTAATGACAACGTGATTAACACATGTCGCTGCGTGTGATTTATTTTTATTTTATTTTATTCATTTTTTTTAAGTGTTAATATTGATGTTTCCTATTTCGAAAGCAAAAGATGTTTACAAGTATGATCTTCCTTAGTGAAAATCACCAATAGTTTAAAATGATGTAAACGCTACTTTCCCCTAAAGTTCATAAAATTCAAGAAACACTGTATTTAATTGTTTATGCATGTGGTTATGTATGAGAGAGTGTGTGAGTGAACAAGTGAAAACGAAACAAAATACAATTTTAAGAAATGTTATTTTCTTTGTGAAAATTAAGTGTGTCATTCAGAAAGTCCAAACGGACAGCATATGGCTCGCGAGCCGCATGTGGCTCGCAGGCCGCATGTGACTCACAGGCTGCAGTATGCTCATGACTGCTAAACAAATGACTCGATCTGAAAACAATGGCTACCCTGGAAAATAAAAAGTGTAATGTACACTAGAAAATAGGTATAGGTCGATCCCTCCACTCAAGCAAGAAAGCTAGATTTGCTTTGTTTGAGAAAAGAAAAAAATATATATATATTGTCAACGTATCTCTGACATCCGAACAGAGGGTGATGATTAATAAAAACAAAAATGATACTGAAAGATAAGGATCTCACCCGGAAATTTAACAGATTATGCAATATGCACGTTATAGGAGTG